AGGCTAAGGAGGAGTAGGCACCCGGCCTAGCTGGGGTGGTGGCTGGCTTGCTAGGTGCCCTGGGTGCCCTGGGGCAAAGAGAACCATGCCCACGGCGCCCTCTGGTGGCTGCCTGAAGCACAGTCAGGGCGGACCTACAGGTCTGGCAGGTTGGGGTGCAAACCTGCCCGGCAGCCACTTCCTGCAGCCCGGTGCATTCCTGAACTTCACTTTCCGCCACACCCCTTTCACCGCTTTTGAAAGTCTGGGTACTTAAACTGCAACTTAATTTCCCTTACCTGCCGCGGGAGCCAGAACTCCGGTGGTTCTAGTACCTTCCCTCGGGGACGTAGAGTAACTACTTGACTTTCTGTTCTTAGAAGACTCAGCTGTCTGACCACGATGTGAACAAAGACTGACATCTTCAGCCACAATTCAGGAAGGGGTGCCTTATCCCAGAGCCCCTCCCTGAGGAGCCATCTCCTTCCTCAACACCAATCAATCCGGACTCTAGCCCTCCTCCCTCAGACCCAGGGGTCCAGCTTCAGCCCTCCCCCCTCAGACTCTCCAGGCCCGCCCCTTTTTAGGGCTGCAGCCACCAGCAGTCCCCTCCCGGTCCTCGAGAACCTGCCCCCTGCTCCCTCTTGGTCCCGCCCCAACCTGGAGTCTTTCCCCGCCACACCCCTCTGTCCCAGTCCCAGGCCACCCGAGGGACCCATGGCTGCGGCGGCAGCCCCGCGAGGGTGGCACGGGGGAGAGCCACGCGCGCTTAGCCGGGCTGTGAAGTTGCTTCAGCGCCTGGAAGAGCAATGCAGGGATCCCAGGTTGGTCATGGGGCCGCCGTCGCTGCGGGACCTGCTGCCCCGCACGGCACAGCTGCTTGGAGAGGTGGCAAAGGCCCGGCGGGAGGCCAGGGAAGACCCCGAGGGACCCGGTGGCGCCGGTGACTTTCTGACCATCTACCTGGCCAATCTGGAGGCCAAAGGCAGGCAGGTGGCCGAGCTCCTGCCACCCCGAGGCAAAAAGGACGCGAACCAGGATGTTTTCCGGGAGGGCTCGAGATTCAGGTGAGTGCTACCCGACCTCGGAGACAAGTCACAGACTAGTGATTTCCGGATTGTGCCACCAGCCGCCTGTTCCCTCACACCCAGGGGTCCAGGTCCAACGCTCCTCCGAATTTTTCCCTCTTTTAAGCACCCTTGCCGCCAGATCTCCTTTCTCCCTTTCGTGGATCAGCTCCCACCTGGGGTCCAGGCATGTGTCACCTTAGATACACATAGCCTAGTGAATGTGGGGAGCACAGACTTCCTGTTGGGGAGGCAGGATGAGGGGACCCACCTGTCAAAGCCTGAGAAACAGGCCAGCCCCCACTCCCACCCCACCCCCACCTGCCTGGGTTCCATCAAGGACATCAGTTCCAAGGACCTTGGACTTGCCTGCCCTCTGGCCCGAGGGACAGCTGCACAGGAGAACTGGAGCTGGACCCCAGAGCAAGGTCTAAACTGGTGACTTAGGCCCGGCTACCTAGCCTTCCGGCCTTAGTCGTGGCTTGCCTGGCTTATGATGAGATGAAGCGAAAGGTAGGTAGGTAGATAGATAGATAGATGATAGATAGATAGATGATAGATACAGTATATACTGTATATATTATATGTACATATACATATATGTATGTGTATATACATATATTTGTACTATGTGTATATATATGTATATACACATATATATACATATATATAATGAAAATGCACATCCTTCTTCTTTCTTTCTTTCTTCCTTTCTTTCTTTCTTTCTTTCTTTCTTTCTTTCTTTCTTTTTTTATGTAGTTCAAGCTGGCCTTTAAGCTCACTCTGTAGACCAGGCTGGCCTCAAACTCACAGAGATTCACCTGGGGTCAAAGGGCTCTGCCACCACAATCAGCCCAGAGTAATAAACTGTTTTTTTTTGTTGTTGTTGTTGTTTTTTGTTTCTTTGTTTTTATTGGTTGATTGCTTGGTTGTTTTTAGATAGAGCTTCTCTGTATAGCTAGCTCTAGCTGTCCTGGAATTTCCTCTGTAGACCAGGCTGGCCTCGAACTCAGAAATCCACCTGCCTCTGCCTCTTGAGTGCTGGGATTAAAGGCATGTGCCACCACTGCCCGTCTACAGATTTCTTTTTTTTTAAATATTTATTATTTTATGTATGTGAATATGCTGTAGCGGTCTTCAGACACACCAGAAGAGGACATGGGACCCCATTACAGATGGTTGTGAGCCACCATGTGGTTGCTGGGAATTGAACTCAGGACCTCTGGAAGAGCAGTCAGTGCTCTTAACCACTGAGCCATCTCTCCAGCCCCAAAAAGTATATCTGAAGGAGGAGGAGGAGGAGGAGGAGGAGGAGGAGGAAGAGGAGGAAGAGGAAGAAGAAGAGGAGGAGGAGGAGAAGAAGAAGAACCAGACCAAGTGGTGGCGCATGCCTTTAGTCCCGGCACTTTGGAGGCAGAGGCAGGTGGATCTCTGAGTTCAAGGACTGCCTGGTCTACAGAGTGAGTTCCAGGACAGCCAAAGCTACAAGAGAAACAGGAGCAGGTGCTTTAATTGTGGAATATTGTAGCTCTCTCAAAAAACCAAACAATGCAAAGAATCAGTTTGTTACTCTAGGCTAATTGTAGTGTCAGAGCCCTTTGACCTCAGCACTCAGGAAGCAGAGGCAGACTGTTAGTCTGAGGCCAGCCTGGTCTACAGAGTGAGTTTAAAGGCCAACTCAAACTACATAATGAAATCTTGTCTGAGAGAGAGAGAGAGAGAGAGAGAGAGAGAGAGAGAGAGAGAGAGAAAACCTTTCAGTCTGAACCAGCCAGAGTTGCTAGTGACAAACTCGTTGGGCTACACAGCTCTGCATTCTGGGAAGCAAGGTTGCTAAGAAACTGTCAGGAGCCCTACAGACCCGGCCACTATTAGTATAAATGAGAGGTATAATACGATCAGCATGCACCGACTGCTAACCCAATATGATACGCAGATTTTGTTTGATTTTGAAAATGTTGAGGATGGAACCCTGATCCCTGAGCATGGTAGGCAGAGACTTTTCCACTGAAACACACCCCAGCCCCTCACTGGGGGATTCTAGGCAGGCTCTACCACTGAGCCACGCCCCCAGCCCCTCACTGGGGGATTCTAGGCAGGGGCTCTACCACTGAGCCACGCCCCCAGCCCCTCACTGGGGGATTCTAGGCAGGGGCTCTACCACTGAGCCACGCCCCCAGCCCCTCACTGGGGGATTCTAGGCAAGGGTTTTACTGCTGAACCTTGCCCTGAGCCGTGCCCTCTCTATGCTCATAAGGCATAGCCAAGGCCCTCATTGTTCCCCAGTGATTCAGGAGCTGACCTCACGTGTTTATTTCCACTTCACAAGTGAGGAACTGAGGAGACTTGGGGAAAGCATTTGTTAATGATTTTCCAATACTTTCATAGCTGGTTAGTGTCCGAAACTCCATTATTGCCTTCTCCATCCTGATCTCAAACCAAAGGCAGCCAACACACCCACTGGTGTGGAAGGCAGTCCGGGCATTCGCTGAGCGTCGACGGCGATGGTTACTCCCCGCCATCTCAGTAGGATAGACTTCTCCAGCCCCAGCAGGCTTTGGGCCTGTGCTGTGCTGGAGGCAGATTTGGATCGTAGCTTCCACACTTCCTGCATAGATGGGGAAAAAGATGTGCAGAGAAGAGAGGCCTCAGAACTGAGACGGGCTCTTGGTGCGCTGATTCACTGGAGGAAATCTAGAGGCCTTGCACCTGTAGGGACTCTCCCTACATCCTGTGTGAGGCTCATAACTTCTTCCTGCAGGCGACAACTGGCCAAGCTGGCCCTCATCTTCAGTCACATGTACGCGGAGTTGAGTGCACTCTTCCCTGCAGGGAAGTACTGTGGGCACCTGTACCAGCTCACCAAGGGCTCTGCCCACATCTTCTGGAGGGAGTACTGTGGAGTTCGGTGAGTGGACCTTCGCCAAGGGAAGGTGGGCTCCAAGTCCTCTAACTGCCCTGCCCAAGGACAGGAAGTGGGGACGAGAGACGCTGCTTCCTGTTATAGGCCCTTTCTCCATCCACGGCTGTAACCACGCCCCTTCCCATCCAGGTGTGTGCTTCCCTGGGCTGAGTTCCAGTCCCTCCTGTGCGCCTGCCACCCTGTGGAACCAGGCCCTACCATGCAGGCCTTGCGGTCCACCTTGGACCTCACCTGTAGCGGCCATGTGTCCATCTTTGAGTTTGACATCTTCACCCGGCTCTTCCAGGTCAGGGAAGGTCAAGGCTGGGCACTGGACCTAGAACCCTGGGTCTGAGGAAGAAGCTAGGGCGTAGACCCCCGGGTCTGAGGGAGGAGATAGGGACTGGGCGCACTGGATCTAAGGGAGGAAGGCTGGATCTGGACCACTGAGCCTTGGGGAAGAAAGGGTGTATGGTTTCCTGTGTGTATAGAGTGTTCAGAGTCACCACACATGTGAATAGGTAGGGATGATGAACCCTTGAACCCTGAAGGTCCTACCTAGGGCATAGGCTACTTCCTTGGTCCCTTAGTGACCATCTCTGTTCCTCCCAGCCGTGGCCCACTTTACTGAGGAATTGGCAACTCCTGGCTGTCAACCACCCTGGATACATGGCCTTCCTCACCTATGATGAGGTCCAAACACGCCTGCAGGCCTACAGAGACAAACCGGGCAGGTGAGCAAAGCACAGCCCCATGGGACATGTAGTCTAGTCCTGACGAAAGTGAGGGGAATCCCTCACTTCTGAGAGGCCAAGAACTGAGGTTCCTGGGAGGTCGGGAGCTCTGCAGCTGGAGGTCAGTGGTGTTTTCCTGTAATTCTAGCACTTGGGAGGTGGAGGCTGGAGGATGAAAAGTTTAAGGCCAGCCTGGGCTACCTGAGACATTGTCTTAAAAAAAAAAAAAAAAAAAAGCCGGGCGGTGGTGGCGCACGCCTTTAATCCCAGCACTTGGGAGGCAGAGGCAGGCAGATCTCTGAGTTCGAGAGTTCGAGGTTAGCCTGGTCTACAGAGTGAGTTCCAGGACAGCCAGGGCTACACAGAGAAACCCTGTCTCTAAATAAATAAATAAATAAATAGATAATTAATAATAAATAAAAAAAACAGCAACAACAAAAAACAAAACCACCTCTGAGTTAAGATGCCCAGTACCCCTGCCTCCTCTCCGGGAGCCTCCTGGGTCATCCCACAGCCCAGTAGCTTATTGATTGAATTTACTGAAACAGTAATATCTGCTCTACCAAGGAGTTCCAAAGGCCCTACCCAAGATACAGTTCTGTCTTGACACGTTAGAGGCTATGCTGTAAACCCATGAAATAGTTTTGTTTTGAGATAGGGCTTGCTTCATTTAGCCCAGGCTAGTGTCAAACTTGCCATGTAGCTAAGGATGACCCTTGAAATCCTGATCATCCTCCCTTTACATCCCTGAGTGCTGGGGGTTATGGGTATCACCACTCCACTCAGGGGTTTGCCAAGGTTTATTTGTTTGCTTTTGTTTCATTTTGGGTTTCTCTGTGTAGCCCTGGCTGTCCTGGAACTCGCTCTGTAGACCAGGCTGGCCTCGAACTCAGAGATCTACCTGTCTCCTGAGTGCTGGGATAAAAGGCATGTGCCACTACCATACAGCTAATTGGCTTTCCTTAAAAGGCTGAGGATACACTGAGCACCCATAGGTTGAAGGAAGACATCTGGTTTATCAGTCTCTGCAGGGCTGAGATGTGCCAGCCTCTGGAAGGCAAAGACAGTATAGCAGCTTCTCTCTAGAGACCCTATTCTCTTCAGGCTGGGAGAGGGAGGGGAAGGAAGAGAAAGGGAAGGGTCTTTCTCAGTCTGTCTCTATCTCCGCCCATGTCTCTGTAGCAGCATCCTTGTCTAGATGGGTCGCTTTGGGTATATAAGGCATCTCATAGCCCAGGCTAGCCTTCAATCAGCTGTATAGGGGGGAAGGGAGGGGCAATTATAAAACAGAAAGAAAGAACCAGAGTGGGAGATTCAGGCACAGACAGATCCAAGCTTTCAAGCCCTTTCATCAGAGGTCAGTGTCTGAGTGTAACTTTCGTCCAGCTTTTCCTGTATTAGCCTCATTCTGAGATGTGGCCCATTGCTATGGTGGGCAATGGTCTCTAAAGCCATAGCCATATACCCTCTCAGTCTGTAACTATGGGTGGGGAGCAAGGCCCCCCTCCCATAAAGGATGAAGACGGAGATACCCGGGTCCCCGACAGGGCAGACATTTGGGTGCCCCAAGAAGGGACAGCAGCGCCCACTCTCCATCCAATCTGTCTTTCCACAGCTACATCTTCCGGCCCAGCTGTACCCGCCTGGGGCAGTGGGCCATTGGGTACGTGAGCTCTGATGGGAGCATCCTACAGACCATTCCTCTCAACAAAACTCTGCTCCAGGTGCTCCTGAAAGGACAAAAGGATGGCATGTGAGTCCCCAGACTGATAGGAAAAGGGTGTCAGCAAAATCCACTTGGAGAGATTTAGCACAAATCATGGGCTTGACTTGAAGGTACTGCGGGGACACAGCCAGCACACCTAGCGGTAATGCCACGAGCTACCAGCAGGGGGCGGCCGGGTTCTCAAGGCCGCGGAATGTCTGCAGCCACGCAGCGCGGCTGCAAAGTGCAGGATTCCGTCCTCAGCCTGGGCTTCAAAGCCTGTGCTTCTAGAAGCCGTCTCCTGCTCTAGGGTCTAGATTGGCAGGGCAGGGGCGGGGAAACAGCCAAACTAGTGGTTTTCCACCTGTAACCTCAGCTGCCTCCGGCGGTTTCCTGAGGAAAGTTGCCCGCGGTGGTGAGGGGAGGGGCCCGGCTGCTCTCCAGGGTTCTCTCTCCCCAGATCTTTTGTGGTTAGCGCCGCCGGGGATGCTTCCTAGCTAGGTCAGATGCTACCAATAAACTGCAGGGTTGATGTGAGTCAGAGACAGAGAAGAGAGAGACAGGTGGACAGACCTGTTGCTTCTCATGGTTCCCAGGGCTTCTGTTCTATAAAATGGCAAAAGCCTTGACTCATTACATACCAAACTGCTACTCTCAAGGACCGGGCAAGCTTGTGTCACCTTCCTGACCGTCACATCCCTTTTAATACGTCATTTATTTTATTAGAATTTGTTTGGTCTTTTGTTCTTTGTTTTGAAAATGTATTGGTCTTCAGCAGGAGTGAGATACGTGCGGTGTGTGTGTGTGTGTGTGTGCATGTGTGTGTCCGGGTACAGGAGGATCCTGAGATCTGCATTCTAAGCTACACTTTGAGATTCTCTTTCAGCAAGAAAAAGGGGGGAAAAAATGTACGGATCATATCGGGGCATGGCTCAGTGGTAGAGCCCCTGCCTAGAATCCCCCAGTGAGGGGCTGGGGGCGTGGCTCAGTGGTAGAGCCCCTGC